CTTTTCATATATATATATATATATATATATATGTATATATATATGTACAGTGTGTGTGTTTTATAGTTCATTGGAATGTAAGAGAAATGCAGGTCATCAAATCCCATTGACTTCAATAGAGCAGTATGTATTGCAGTTCAGAGACAGCATTTGACCTGCATTCCTTTGCATTGTGCTGAATTTCTTTAGACCCAACATGTCCTATTTGGGAGTATTTGAATGGCAGGCAAAGCAAGTCCAACGCAGCCTTTTCTTGTCAAACACTGGATTTTCCTTTCAAACGCATCCATTGCGTTTGTAGAAAATAACCAGCGACATGAGCCCTTATACTGTCCATTTAAGAGACCGCTCTAGTATTCTCACAGAGTCCTAGCCTTACCTTAACAGTCCCTCACCAGCCCTATAACTTTACCTGACCAGGAGATTAACACTTAATATTTAACCTCTTCCCTAACACTTAACCTTTTGCCTAATCTAATGAAACCTAACCATTTCTAACATTAACCCTTAAAGCTTAACATAATGATTTACAGCTCCCAATTGCCCCGGAGAAATGAAGCAAACGATTTTTTGGCAGCAGTACGAGGATGCTCTGTCAGGTTTTTATTGCTGATTTATTGATTTTACCTAAACCCTATACAGCAAATAATGAACTCCTGGTGATTTGTGCCAGCTTTGAGATTACCCATTATATTTAAGCCCTGAAGGAGGGAAAGGGGTTTGAGTTCCTGAAACGCGTTTGCTCTTCCTTGTTGTCATTTGTGAACCAATGCTAATACTAAAAGTGTTGGGACCCTCAGGCTGTTTGTTTAATGCCCTTGTTAGACTTTATACTTGTGAATTTTCAAATCCGTGCCCCTTGTTTGAGGGACACCTCCGAGCCAATGTGCTTTATCACAATATGACCGATCAATTCTACTTGTTCTGGGTTTTTTTTTGCTGTCTGTGTTACTATTGGGGAGATTTCATCTCAATATCTCTCCTGGTTAAAAAAAACAAACCCTTTGTTTTGAGATCCACTTCATTGTTATAAAATAACCTATCAAAAAAAATACTATAATAAATAGCTGCCTGCATTGCGTTGTTGGTTGTTAGGGGTCATGTGCAGTTGTGGTTTCTGTACACAGGGGACCTAGGATTTAGGGTCTGTGTTTGGGGCAACATTTGAACGTATCTTTATTTACTTAGAACAGCATTTCTCAACCTTTTTTCAGCCACGACACCCTTTAAAAGTATCCAAAATCTTGAGGCACCCCAGTCTAAATGTAAAAAACATAAATGTAAAAATGCAAAAATCCATACCAGCCCCCTATCTCAGAAGGGATCTGTTACATATTTTAAAGGAAGACCCACACAAAAACAAAAGAAATGAAGCTCCGCCTATACATCAGAGTCTCCCTTCAAATCAGGAGCCCACCTTTTGCATCAGAATTCTCCTTTTCACATCAAAGCCCCCTGTACATTAGGAGCCTCCTTCACTTTAGAAGCCCTATTCACATCAGACACCCTTTTACATCAGAAGCCCCCCTTCACATTAGAACCCCCCTTTTATATGAGGAGTTGTAGATGTGAGAGCATGGCAGGGGGTGGGAAGAGGAGCAAGCCTGGATGGAGGAGAACTACTGTCCTTTCTGAATGGATTCCACTCTCCCTAGATTAGCATCATTAATTTCCATTGTGCTGCTAAAAATTATTTTAAGGCACCCCTGAGAAAGCCAGAAGGCACCCTAGGGTGTCATGGCACCCTGGTTGAGAAGTGCTGACTTAGAACCAGAATATGTTATCTTTGTAAGAAGTGCAGCGGCGGGGTGGCAATCAGAGCTGGATTCACCACAAGGCCACCGAGGCCCTGCCTCGGGGAGGCAGGGAGCAGAGGGGTCGCAGCGGTGTGGAATCCCCCGACGCCTGGGACATGCATTTAGCCCTGCTTTGCACAAGAGGTGACTTGGCCAGCTGACCCTTTGGCATCTCCTAGAACTGACATATCAGTTCTGGAAGAACATTAGTGTAGAACACAAGTGATTGCAATAAACATTACAGATACCTCTGTGGATAGCCGCGTCCAGCTACATTGTAAGTGTAGGACCCTTTTTTCATCAGCAAGCCGCTGTACAAGCCCCATCCTGAATAGACAAACAAGAGGCAGTGAACTTCTAATGAGATGTCATCCTCAGGAGAATTAGCACCATGTAAAAAACCCACGGCCAAGCTGAAATGTTCTCTCTTTGTGAGACAAATCACAGCGGGGACTTTTTTTGTTAATCAACCTGCAGTCATCTGTAGTCCTTTTTTTTACCTGGAATCAAAAAGTACTTAAGGATTTCCATAACAAAAGCACAGTTAGTTTGACAACGGCGAAGATAAGTGTTTTGTCAGGCGCGGTGCGTTTTGGTAGTGATAAACAAATCTGGGCAGAAGCTTTCCTCGCAGCGCTCGGTATATACTCAAAACAGCTTTATTGTGAACAGGCTTCAAAATATTTTGCACACCTAACAATGGATGATATTCCCATAGGTCAGAATTTGCTTAATAGAAGAATTGGATGAGCGCATATGACCAATGGTATTATGTGGTGGTGGAAATTGCACAATAAAAATACTGGAGATTATATGCTGATGAGTAATGGATTCTGAGGGCCAGTTAAATGAAATTACTGGCTGGTTTATAGAAATCAGATATTTACAGGATTCATTAGTGCATATAAAAGCTGGGGGATCAGAAGATATTTGAGTTTTGATCCTGAAGCAAGGTAATCTAAGGAAACTAAAAAGAGGTGGCAATTGGCGGAAGTTTTCAACGTCAGCCATGCACTCCCCAAACATGTTTTCACGTTTATTGTGCATTGAGGCACTCTGTTTCAATCTGAACTTTTTATGCAGCATGGGGACTGTGCTAGGCATTGGCTCTAACGGTTTAGGGCCCGCTAGGGTAAAGATAACTAAACTGGCTGAAGTACCACATCCAGCAACCATGTGAATGTAGCATAAGGGTGACCATAAACAGCCGTATCCTGAATCCAACATTCAAAACATTGCTAGAGGTTCTCTAACTTGTCAATAAATATCTATGTTGTGGGGCATATTCTTTCTTCTTTTCAATGAGAAAATATATACACTGACTGGCCCCAAAAAAGTCACCAGCTGTAATTAGCTAAGCAAATAGGTCAGAGCCTTCCACTGGACAATAGGTCTAGGTTCAATAGGTCCCCAGAAAATTAGCTCAGCTGTCTACTGGAATATACTAATTGACCAGGTTTTTCCATCAATGGATTTTTTCTTCCCTGATGGCACATTGGGCATATTCCAAGATGAAGTCCAGACCTTAACTCCATTGAGAATCTTTGGGATGAGCTGGAAAAGATTTTACACAGTGCTCCGAATCTGCCATCATCACTACAAGATCTTGGTGAAAAATGAATGCAACTCTGGATGGAAATAAATGTTGTGACATTGCATAAGCTTATTGAGATGATGCCACGAGGGAATGCGTGCCGCAATTAATGCTGAAGGCGGCCAACAAAATATTAGAGTGTGTGACTCTTTTTGTGGCCAGGCAGTGTATATCCTCAGTGAGAAGAAGGTGTTAAAGTGACTCTGTCGCTCAAATATAATGCAAAGAAAAAAACTGCCCCCTGCAA